CTATTCTCCCTCACAACGCATCTCGTGCTGCAATCCTGCATGTTATAGCATCTGAAAGTGAAGATATTCTCAACTCCGAGGCGGGTATTTTGTAGTGCTGGTTAATACAAAAGAGACGAATGTCAACACAAGAAAACAAATATAGATTAGAGAAAAGATGTAAAAGGGCACGGGGGAGATAGAGGACAGACCTTTTGTATCTGGGCTTGGTTTGCTCGTCCTTCCAATTCCTCCAAGTTGATTTCTACTCCCTTGATAAGTTCCTTTATGGCTGTTACCTGTTCAAACAGTAGAAGCTTATGAATTCATTTAAGAAAGTAAACAGAATCTTTGAAAGTGAAGAAATGCACCAACTCTATATTGTTCACGATGTTGGACTGTGTGGGATCCTAATTACACTGTTCACTTGTACCCTCGACCGCGACTCTTTTTCTTTTATTTTTTAATCATAGGGTTTTATTGGCATTCATATTGTATTAGGCTTGCCCTAATTTCCCATCGTATGTAAAGAAACTTACATATGGGGACTCTTTTTTATTTTAGTAAAACCAACAGCTATGAGTTCATGAAGGTCTCGTATAGAGGGTGAACCTCTATAAATCTATGTTTGCTTTGCATTTTTCTAATTTTTGCTTGCTTATTATTTCTCTCCAGACTAGATATTAGAATTTAATGCATAATAACACTGAAACTCTGGTCTCACCTCATCAGCCGAAGCGTCAAAACGAGCCACAAGGATGTAACTTGTGCTGTCAGATATACCGCATCTTTTCAAAGATTCCGATATCTGGAACAACAGCAGCAACATAATTGAAAAATTCAAATATTAAAACCATGATGAGCTAAGGAAAATGCTTCTTACATGTTTAGAGCCTGAGTAGTTGTAAACAAGCTCAGAATGGAGAGTCCTTGTTGTTAGAGCCTCTCTTGATTTAGCTATGAGCGTCTTATGAGCAGCGGCAAGCACAGGGAAAACATCGGGTATCTGTTTTGATTGTCTCATGATGAATATCAGACCCAACAAAACAAAAGACCAAAAGCCCAAAAAATAAGAGGTAGTGAGAGGTGTTGGATTATAAGGTATGCAGAAGAAGCTTACTAGTAAAGCATTGAGCAATGCAATTTCTGGTTCCAATGTTCCCGCTTGCATCAAATCCAGCAGTTCTCTGCATAAGAAAATATTAGGGCTACAAATTTCCGTAGAGATTTCCATATGATGGGGGTGTTGCTAAGGCTCTCACAAGTAGCCAAATTAACCATTACATTTGGCACAGAAACACTATAGTCAGTTTATTTTCTAATCTTGTCAACATGAACTGTTTATCCCCCTAAAATCACCTATAAGATTCTTAAAAGAGAAATGCCAAAGTTATCAAGAAACATGAGAACAATGTGAACATATATCAAATTAATAATATTGGTAAATAATAATAAATAAACTATCAAAGTTATTCTGGTAAAAAGGGGAGGCCACTTTTATGAAAACTTCACAAAGGCTGTTTCTTTTACTGAAATAAATATGTCCTCAGCCAGTCAGCCAGCCACAACAAATGCCTCTGTAAATTTGTTTCCTTTCCTTTCTCTCCTTGGAGGCCTCAACGATCGAGGACAATATTGCAGACAATAAGGTTAGAGAAAACAGGAATGGAACACAATGTCAAGTAATTGTAGCATGCATCACTAAAATGTTTGCACAAACAGCATAAGGAAACAGTAGTAAGCATACATCATGAAATCTGCTAGCTCCTCTGCAAAACCAGCGCAAATATACATGCAAGACTTATTTGATACAGTTTCTCGTGCACGCAGATGATATTCAATGCAAAGATCCAAAGTTGTATTTAAATGGAAAGCACTATATTGACAACTTTCGTTTTTTGCAAACATTTTGTGATAGATGACTGTGATCAATCCGCACAATTTACGGCAAAAAAAGCATATCATCAAAGGCACTTCTCCTCCCCCCTATACATCTGAAAAAATCTCAAGAAATATAACAAAAAAGACGTCTATAAACACAAAATGGAGAATTTAGAAAAGAAAATATTCCTTACAAACTCCTAAACGAGAATTAGTGAACTCAGAGCTATTAGAATTTCAATAACCAACCTAAATCAGAGTGAGGATTTTATGCTTTTTGAATATTAATTCCTCCAACTGAAAGGTCTTACATTCTTAGAATTCAACCAAAAAACAGAAAATACATAGGTAATAACCGAAGGCCGGACAGTAGCTTTAAGTCCAACAAATTTACTTGCTCCTCAAACCACGGATAAAATTACATGAAGATGATTTTTACAGAATTTCTACAACCAAACACTTGGAACGTTTTCAAAAGCACAAATCTTTTCAGCTTTTTCCCCCGCCCTCCCTCTGGGAATAAGAAGATACTAATAAAATATAATTTTCTACAAAATCGAATAGACCCGCATGAAGTAGAATACTAAATCACAGCAATCAGATATACATTTCTTGAAAACCCCAATTTCACGCAGTAATTATTAAAAAAAACGACGAACATCTCGTATCTAATATATGTACTGTACAGAAATTTATAGATACCAAGGGAGAAGAAGAGATGGCATACTTAGAGTTGGTG